ATCTCGCCCCTGTGATTCTGTCTGCCGATCGGTGACCTACGCTAGGACTATTCTTGTGTTTTTGCCCACCATATACCTGTTTGCCATTGTTCGACCTTGCCTGTTATACCACGTCTCTTTAAATAAAGCTTGCAGATGGATCCACACGTCTCACGTCTCGTCAGCCCCGTTACAGAGACAAAGCGAGCGTTGAAAATCATTTGAAATTTGTGTCAATACGTCATGAATAGAACGCAGCAGTTTTCTGTCGGGGATTTGTCGTGTCGTGCCGTGCCACATCCAGTGTAGACCCTTTTGGGGTAGGGGCGTGTTTGTTTTGGTGATTTCAAATGTCAACATTGGCTACCAGAAATCGCTTACCCCACCTTTAATAGCTATTTGGCTACATGTGCACTGATGAGCTGTTCCCAATAAGACCAGAAACATAAATTTTGATTTCATGATTTCATGACTTTGTGCTTATATTAATTCTTATGTATAAAAAAGTGTTATTTGAGCTGTAAAGTTTCTAAATCACCTCCTAGAGGTGGAACTACACCTCTTTAAAAGTGGATTTTTGCTTGAGCAACCAATTCACATGATTTCCTGTGGTGACTGACAGCGTGTCACTGATGACATCATAGAGCTCAACCTGTACTGAATCCAGAACATTCCTCAAATTCCACACACACCAACTAAAAGGCACTTTAACAGGGAAGAGGAAGAGTTGAGACGCATCCATCAGCACACAGCAGACTCTGAAGAGACTTTCTGACTCTCTGCGGCCTATTTGTGTCTGTCTGTGTGCGAGTGATTAGAGACTCTTTGATCTTTAGGGAAGCCGCAATATAAAGCATCCGGAGAGATTTATCCTTCCTCATTTCTCTATTCCTCTGCCTGATTTCCTCTTTTCATTCATTCTGACACAAGTCGCCACGGCAGCAGTTAGTTTTGGTTACCATGACAACGTTGGCGAGATGTGCTGAGCAGAGTGCATAGACCCCGCCGGACCCGCCCACCACCGGAGCGCGCATATCCGTGATGGACACCGTCAGAGAACCTGAGAAGATACATGGTTAGTCTAGACTAATGACAAAGAGTGGGATTATTTGATATATTTTGTCCTGCAAATCCCCCACGAAGCATGTAACAAAGCCCCGCCCACAAGTAGTGACTCATTGTCAAATTATGACATCATGTGAACTGATACATTTAAAATTCTAGCGTGATACATTGTTTCCTGCGACTCTCATTCTGTGTAAAGACCTTCGTGGCGTGCAACATTAAAACACTTGTGTACACTGTACGTTTGCTGATTTCAGACAGCCTCTATTGAGTAAAATTGCCCAATAGAGAAAATTGACAGGCAAATTTAATCATAATATAATTGCCTCATAATGACATGAGAGGGTCCCCGCATAGGGACCAGTACACCACTGATGCATGCCTGTATTTTCGGATGATTTGGAGCTTGAGAGTGTCTAACTGTCTTACATGCCTTGAAAATAATTTAATACAACCTAAATTTAAGTTTTTATAAGGATTTCATTAATAAAAGATTTATATATATTTTTATATATATGTGTGTGTGTGTGTGTGTGTATATATATATATATATATATATATATACACACACAAAATTGTAATTTTTTGTAATAAAATAAATGTAATTAAATTCTAATTATCTTAATCAAATTCTTATTTGAATAAATTTACTTTGATTTGACCTATTAACTTATTTTTAATTTAATAAATTAAATAAATGTAATTTTATTTAATTTACTGAATTGATTCCTTTAATTTAACAAATGTAATAAATTAAATATTATTGAATTTATTCATTTTACTTTTTATTTATGTATTATTTGTATTTTTTTATTTAATTGTGTATTTAATAAATGTAATTTTAATTATATACAATTTTAATTAACTTTATTGAATGTATTCATGTTTAATTTAATTTAATTATAATGTTTCCCCTGTAGGTAGTTTATTAATAAATCATGAAGAATGTTATGATAACAAAAGGTGTTTTAATTTTACTCAAATGTATACGTTTCATCAAATTTATTTAATTTAATAAAAAAAAGAATATACAGAATTTACATACAGCTCAGGAGGCATGATTTAGTCTTTATTGTGTTATTTTTATATAATACTAAAAATTAACACATTAAAATGACGTGTAATATATATATATATATATATTTATGCATATAAACCCCTCCTGACCTGTATTTCTGCATTACTGCCATCACTATTGTTGACCCATTTAATGAATACAATAAAGGTAATTAATAGTTGTCATGTAATTATAGGATAGAGCTGCTCTGTGCTGCAGTCTAAACGTGTACTACAGAAACTATTTTTTGAGATTTTATTTAAACCGAGTGCTATTTGCATGTGCAAAACTTGCAGTCAGGATGCCAGGCTGTTCTGAGTGGTTTGTAGGGTGTTGTAGGTGCTCGTTAGGTGGCCAACCCAAGTGGACTTTAATTTAATACAGAACATTCAAACTCACAGCGGCACAAAACACATTGAGTAAAGCTAATTCTGTACTATAAACTAAAATCTCACAGGAAAGCGAACATGCATGCAAAATACAGCAGAAGCAGGTGAGATAATTGAATATTGGCATATCCTCTGTGTGTGTGTGTGTGTGTGACAGATTGTCTATACGGTGCGTTACATACTGAGCTGTGCTGTGCTCAGCACTCTTACTCCAACACCGTCTTCATCATTCTGCTCTTTTTATGTTACATTTTCTCAATACTCTTTCTACACGCACGTCCTCCACCCTCTCACTCCATTTCTCACGTTTTTTATCTCTTTTTTGCATATTCTATTTTCTCCTTCTTTTAATTTGCATCTCATGTTCTGCGTCCTCAGCATGGACACTTTTCTTTAAAGATGTCAAGTATCCAGTACATTTTGAGTAAATATGATACAACATAAGTGTTCATTTAAACTCAGCATATTTCTGTCCATGTCATTTGCAAGAGTTAAGTTGTATTGTGTTACATCATGGCTACTTGATTCTGTTCCTGGACTGGAGGGCCACGTCCTGCAGGGGTTTGGCATGAACTCTAATTAAACAGACCTGAGCCAGCTAATCAAGGTCTTCAGGATTATTTAATAATTACAGACAAGTGTGTTTGATTAGGCTTTGAATTCAGCAGAACGTGGTTCAAATTTAAAAGCACTGTATATCATCTATGTATTTCCTATTTCACACAAACATACACATAACAAAACAAGTCTTTATGAATGAGACATTGACTCCATACAAAATTAATTTTTTTTTCAAATTAATAAATTTTTTAAATATATATTTTTTAAATGTATTCCTTTTATTACATTTTTTTAATAAGTGTAATTTTTTTGTATTTATTCATTTTATCTTGATTTAATTTAATAATGATCAATGAACATTTTGTCAGAACCTCTAGTGAATTACATGTTATTTTGTTTAGATGTCTATTGTTTTTTCTTCAGAATCATAGGAGAATCACAATCTCTATTTAACAATAAATAAAAATAATAAAAATTGAGATTCTGAGTTTATCCAGAATCATGCAGCTCTAATATATCCACACACACACACACACACACACACACATCCAGAATGTAAAACATCAGCTGCGGCTACAGGTCTGTACAGCTAAATTTAGACAAAGGAACACTATGAAATTCTCATCAGCCTTAGAAGTCGAAGTCAAACTTTTGTCTCTCATCTTAAAAGAGCCTAAATTTGCTCAAACGCTTACAAAACACATAAAGGCCTTACAGAAATCCAAGACAGATTAAACCTGTTGAGTAATGAATTGAATGCACATTGAAATGTATCGCAATATGACAGATGATTGAAGCAGAGGGGCTGAAAAATGGTTTTGCTGACATCATTTGATAAGCAAAGTCATTTCAGAGGTGGAGTATTTTATTGCATTTTGATAAAAGATGACAAGGACAAACTGTTTTCTTTAAAATAAACGAATCATGCACAATAAGACCAGGAACATGCACGAAGAAATATGTTCACATTTGACTTTAAAAGGGTCATATGATGCTGCTAAAAAGAACATTATTTTGTGTATTTGGTGTAATGAAATGTGTTGGAACATGATCTTTACTTAATATCCTAATGATTTTTGGCATAAAAGAAAAATCGATAATTTTGACCCATACAATGTATTGTTGGCTATTGCTACAAATATACCCAGCGACTTAACACTGCTTTTGTGCTCCAGGGTCACATATGTGGTTTTTGTTGAGCATCATATTTGATACATCGGGCTTTTATGGCTCACATAGCTGATATAGTGAGAATACGGAGTGCAAACCCAATTGTAGATGCCCAAACTGAGCAAAAATATACAATTTGGAGTAGATGCTATTTATTTGGCCAAAAAGATGATATTCTGATAGCTTGTAATTTAAATGCTAATTCATAATCAATGATGGAAGCAGTTGTGCTGCTTAATATTCTTTTTGGAACCTGTAACACTTTTGTCAGGATTTTTTGATTAATAAAAATTTAAAAAGACCAGCATTTATTTAAAATAGAAATCTTTTGTGTACTGTATCTTTTGTGAGCAGAAGAAACTTCTTTAAAAAAAACAATAAAGACAAACTTTTGAGCGCCAGTGTATGTATGACTGTTTCATAACCGTTTCAGTTCATAACCAAAACATTTATCATTAAATGATGATAATGTTAATACACCAACCAAAATTTAACTGAACCTCAATAATCTGCTCAGTACAGAAATAATAACAAATGCATCAACAGTAGACCATGTGATGATTTACAGTTCATTAATGTGACATTTCCAGCAAAAATTAATTACATATACAGTATTTTCCAGAATATAATTTTTTTTAATCAACTAAAATGAGTTGTGACTTATACTGCAAAGCGATAATGCAATTAATGTACACAGTTTCACTTTAAATACATTAGTTTTAGCACTAAAATAATGCTATAAACTTAATAACACTAACAAAACTGTAACATAAAACACTCTAATGCACATAACTAACAACAAAAGGAGGAATATAATTTTAAAAATAAAATATAAACATAATGAGTCACTCAAGTTCTTCTGGAAACTCCTCTACATAAAATATACGGTGGTAAATAAAATATTTTATATAATAATATATTTGCATAATTATATACATATAATTAATTTTAATACAAATGCAATATAGCTGTAAATATAATTAACAAATCTTATTTAAAATATCTTTTATTATACATAATTTATTTTTTATTAAAAATATTACTTACTGAATTACATTAATAATTTTTATATCTAAAACATTATTTGACCAATAACTGACTATGCCATGTACTGTCTTTTAAAATACATAATTTTCACCATACATGATGGTTGTATGTACATACACTCTTTAACAGACCTCAAAATAGTCACACACACACACAAAATCAGAGACATGGAGCAGTTTAATACTGTGACTTTCTTACAGATTACACCAATGTATGTAGGATTTCTCACACGCTCTTCTTTCTTTCCCCTGTTTCCTTCATCTCCCTCATGCCCCAGATTTACACTTCACCCAAATCCTTTTAAATTCATAGCTTAGCTTTCTCTCTGCCTTTGCTTCAGTCTCTCTTTCTGTAGAACATGGTTTTAAATCATGGAATGTCTTGAATCCAAGCCACAGAAAGTGTAAAGCATCCGTGCGCGTGTATCAGGGTGTGATTACGTGAGGGTTCGTATCACATCTCTGAATGAGTCTAGCTAGAGCACCAGAACTGTCAACACAGAGCGCCGCAGTCGTGTGTGTGTGTGTGTGTGTGTATTAAAAGAGCCTGCGGCAAAATTGATTCAACTGTCTGTGCCAGAGTGAAAACACTTACGCCCCCTCGTATCAAGTGTTAGAGAGTGAAGAAGGTCCTGAGAGGAACACGGCTGGATTTGTAAAGGAAGCACGTGGAGGTTCAGAAATTACAGAGCTGAGACCTGCAGTCTATTACTGACTGTGGGAAGAGCTTTTCATTCATGAACACACACACACACACACAAACAGCATTCATCTGCTCCGGGTCT